TAAGAACTTTAAGTTTAAGTACTTAGTTTAAGTATTCAAAAGAGTACTGAGTCTGTGGGAGAAGCAAGATTTACAAACTTTTTGGAGTTAGCTTTAAGGGCAGTTTTCAAAGCACTTCTTTTGAGGTTTATGGACAAGAGAGACTGATAAGGAATGTGTTTATTGTGGATGGAATTTGTTATTGGTAAAGATTTAAATGTGTATAAGGGAATTCTAATGTTTTAAGTAATGTTCAGATTTGTGTTTTGGAGGGAGTTTATAAAGAATGATGGATAATAACATAAGTATGGTATGAAAAGGTTCAGAGTATATTATAATGTGTTTAATGATTGGGTTTTTGTTTTTTTGTTTTTTTATTATTATTATTATTTTTAAGAGAAGATAACTTGTTTAATTAAATGTACCTAGATTTGTTTAGGATTTATATGTCTTTTAAGTTTTTTTTTGATAGGAGAGAAGATTATGGAGATTGAATGAAAATCTTAGATAAGAAGTTTAAGTTTAAGTATTTAGTTTAAGTATTCAAAGAGTATTTAGTTTTAATGGTATAATGAAGGTTTATATGTTTATTTTTGTGTTTTAGGATAAAGAAAGAGGGAGAGATTAGATTTTATATTGTAGGTATAGATATTCAAAGAAAGTAATGTTTAAATTTGTGTTTTGGAGGGAGTTTATACAGAATGATGGATAATAATATAAGTATGATACTAGAAAATGTTTAGAGTATATTATAATGTGTTTAATGATTGCAATTATTATTTTTTAGAGAAGATAACCTATTTAATTTAATGTATTTAGATTTGTTTAGGATTTATATGTGTTTTAAGTTCTTTTCTTTTTCTGAAAAATTTTAATTAAGCCTGTACTCAGCTCTGGGAAGGTTGGGGGAGGATTTGGGAGGTTTGGGGAGGTGGGGGAGGGTATGGGAGGGTGGGGGGGGGGTTGGGGAGGGGATTTGTTTTGTAAAATTTAAAAAACTTTCAATAAAAAAAAACAAAGAGAATCCCTGTAGGGCTGCATGTAATTGGTTCTGAGTTTCCTCAAAGACATTGTTTACATCATCAGGACAAATCTATCTAAAAGCTGGACTCCTGTCCTAGACATATTGATTCTTGAGACTACATCTGCCAAGATCCTCAGCAATAATTAATTGATTAAAATAAAATGTGTGCTTGTGTGGGTGGGTGGGTGTGCATGTTTCTACCCCTCCTAAACTGGGAAAGGAAAAATAATCAGTTGTGACATAATATGTACAATTCGGTTTCTTTTAATAAACTGGGTTTTTAAAAATCCCATCTGAAATTAGAAAACTAAAAAGGGGAAAAAGATCTGAACTAGGAATAGTAAATGTGATCCCCATATGTACTGTGTCCAAGTCATATCCTTGGTTCTTACCAGACTTCTCTCTTGTTTGATTTTTAAACAATATACTTTTATTGGCAACTTCTCATTTGTAAGATGGAACCATGTATGCTGCAAAATAAAGTGCCAGGCATTATCCACCTGTTTTTTACAGGATTTCCTCTGGGCCTCCTGTAGCCATCATAGGTACTCTTACAAAATGAAAAAATGGATATAGTCTGTATTTAATGTGGGAGTCTATGCATCTCCCGCCCCCCCTCAAAAAGACAGGGAAAGAGAAACCATCATGGATAGAGAAGCTGTAAGAATAAACAAGAGGCAGTCTCATCCATTTGCTTTGACTCCCTTCCTTCCTCCCTCCTGCCTTTCTTTCCACCATGGCAGCCATTTTGTATCTAGATACAGCTGCACTCTGTTTTTTATTTTTCCCAATTTTCTGATCCAGTATTCTCAAAGCCTTTAAGATATCTATTTTGATGATCCATTTTATCAGCTGTTGATTAGGAGCAATTGGACTGAAAATTCCAAATTCCTCAAAATTCCATCTCCAACATTTTGGCAACTTTCTACCTTTTTAGGTAAGATGTTTGTAAGCCGTCCAGAGTCACCTCTAGACAAGATGAATGGCACACAAATTTAATAAATAAATAAAATTATTTCTTGTTATTATACTTTTAAAATCTGCACACAATTTGCAATATAGACCTCCAGAGTTCTTCCCCCCCCCAAAACTAGGATAATATTAGTACCTTATTTTTCCTGGTGTTGTATTAGCCATTTGAAGCTTAAAGGATTAAAAAGCGATTTGTTCCATTTTGTGGAACAAAGAACTGATCTGCACATCTTTAGCAAACCACAAGGTGTCACTTTTTTACCTACATTTCACTGTGTTGCAGATTATTCCAAGGGAAAATTGTACTGTAAATTTGAAATCTCCTGCTGACTTCATGATGGATTCTAAACAAGGCTTCATTGTGAAATGACCCATTTACAGAGATTTACTGGGGATACAAGTATAATCACTTTTCATTTCTAACCTTCCAGTGTTTTTGTATTGTTTTTTCCATTTTTTTTCCTATTGCGGAAAAGCCACTGACTGGGAAACAAAATAAGAACCTGCAGTGCTCATGATGTTGCTGAACTATAACATCCAATAGCCCTATTCAGCATAGCCAATGACATATTTGGGGTTTTAATTCAACATCATCTGGGGAGCCACTTCTGGGCCATGGAACAAGTGGATTTTACCTTCTACGAACAGTGTGTTTGCTGGTAATGAAAACGTGCAACATACGCAAAGTTACGTACGTTCTGTTTTGCCACATAAGCCATTTGTCCAAAACAGAGGAGTTTCTTTAATTACAAAATAAGCTTCAAAAATGAGGAATGATGATCTGAAAGAAATTTTCAGTTGCCCATGAGGAAGCGTTTGAATAGAGTTTGTGTATATAATGTATTCTTCTGCCCATTCCCCTTTCTTTCTGATTCCTTTGTAAACTGTCTAGCTTTTACAGCAAATTACTTCTTGGTATGTGTACATACTTATACACTCAGGGCCTGGCACATTGTTGTATTTGTGCCTGCAGATGCACTTTCCCTCAAACCCAGCTGGCTAATGTTTTGAGAGGGAGGATGAAAGTACTTGTACACACTTTGCCCCCATGGTAGGTGGGGTGACTCAGACGCTTGAATCACCAGATGCCATCTGAAAATATCTCTTCTGTTAAGCCTACTATAAGCTTAGCTTTGGACATGTTTGGGGCTGTGTTAGAAGGGTATATGGAAAACAAACAGCATTGGACCAGATGGCCGGTGAGGTACATGATACTGAAGGTTCATCCAAATTAAATTTCCACCTGTTTGATCTTCTGTTGTAACTGTGACACAGCATAAACATGTCCAAACCCCTCTTTTTCCTGATTCAGGCACAAGCATGTATACTATTTGCACAATGTAATTATTTGAGTCATTGGTGGTGGTATCTCATGGGAATACAAGGAGACAATTCTCTCATGCAATTAATTTAGATTTACTCCAAAGACATTTAATTCTTGCATTACACTTAAAACTACACCACCCAGTCTGCTATGTTATGGGAACAGGAAAAAAAAAAAACCTAGGGAGAAAAAGAGCAAATGAAAAAGCAGGATCACTACCAAAGCATGATAGCATTATAGCCTCCCTAAAGGGGTTGATGATATAATGAAGCTTTGCCAGTTCTTCTCACAATAAGGGCAAGTTTGGTGTAGCGGTGAAGGCCTAGAAACCAGGAGACAGTGATTTCTGGGCCTTCCTTAAGCACGCCAGGCCTGAGGATGCCGGCAGGTGACGGCGAAAGCTTGGCGCTTTTTAAAACTTTTATAGTTTTAACCTATTAAAAACTTCCTTAGTTTTTATTACCCTAGTGTTCATTTTTATATTTTATTATATATATATATATATATATATATATATATATATATATATATATATATATATATATATATATATATATATACACACACACACACACACACACACACATATACACACATTGCTTACTGGTGTACACCGCTTAGAGAATGCTTGCACTTAAAGCAGTATATAAGTCCCATAAATAAATAAATAAATAAATTGGGTGGGCATGGCTGTGGTGGGACTAAAAAGTTAAATCAATTTCAACTTTGCAAGATTCGCCGTGAAAAGTTGAAATTGACTGATTGAACCTTTTTTTTTTTTTTTTGCACACGGCGTCGGAGGCCTAAAGCAAAAAGGTTTTATAAAACCCAGCTGAAGGCCTAGGACTGGGGCGACAGTGCGCGTGCCCAGAGAGGGCTGTTGTGTGCTGCCTCTGGCACTCGTGCCATAGCTTCACCAGCACTGGTCTAGACTTACATTTGTTGCTCTACTGACTATAACACTGGGTCCACCTTTCAAGAGATTTCAGCTAAACGTTGAAGAATTGCCTAACTATGAGATTTCTTGGTTAAAACTTGTTAAAAAGAGTACTCATCATTATTGAAGATATAATCAAGTATGCTACAAATGTTGCTTGTACAATATTGTGTGTGTTTCATTTAGCAAGGAGCATTCACAACCAGGACACCATTGAGGAAGATTTTATATAATGAAATAAACTTGAGGAGAGGTCATTGACCAGATGAGTTTTCTATTTTGTATTGCATTGGGATAGGACATTTGGAGGCTAAACATCATTATGCCTGGCAGGAAGGGAGAAGTAATGGCAGAGATAACTTTCAGATCTGTAATTGTTCCATGCCCTATAGATAGCCACATAATACCCCACTACTATAATTTTTCTGATGTTCTAGTGCAGTGTTTCTCAACCTTGACAATTTTAAGGCAATGCTGGCTGTGGAATTCTGGGAGTTGAAGTCCACATGCCTTAAAATTGTCAAGGTTGAGAAACACTGCTCTAGTGGTACATCCTGCTAGGCCACTGGAAATTGTAAATCAGAAACATCTTCAGAATGTGCATTTTTTTTTACTATCCAAAAATCATGTATCTTTAAGTACTATTGTTCAATACTGAAAAAAAAAAAAATTCTGAATCAGTAGTGGGTGGTTTTGACTCTAAAGTGCATTCTGAATAAAGATGGAAACATAATCTGAATTTATAAAGACACTGAAAACATTAATAGAAATATTGTCCAAGATTTTACTGCAAACCAATGGGTTTGGTCACAAAAATGGTACATATTATAACCATATTAAGTACATTACAATGGTGGAATACATTATGAGCCTTTAAAGTTTTTTTTTTCTTTTAAATATTCATTTAGCATTGCAATCAACTGTACAAACCTTTTTACAAATACATACAAGGAATGCAAGCAAACAATACCCATAAATAATGCCCAAGTTTACAGATTATGAACAAAAAAAAAATATGAACTAAACCAGCAGATTAGCAGACAACAGCTGGGGCATTTTGGTCCATAGAAACCATTTCTAAAAATAGAAATATTTATATACATATATATCTGTATATATATATTTCCATAGCAGCAATGCTTTCTTCAAGCATTTGGGATACAAGTAGTTGAAGCCCATTTGAACTATATATTTTTTTTACATATTTTTCTTTAAAAAAATCACTATCTACATTTATTTATTTTCTTCCAAATATGGAAGGAACAAACAATGCCCCATACTGTCCTCCAAGTGTCACACGGACACCTCTGAGCCAAGTCCATCTGTGGGAATATACAAATCACACTCCTGCCATTGTCCACGTTACACACTCGCTCACACATGAATCCAGAAAGCACTCTCTGATAAAAACTTTTGGAGTTCACAAAGATCTCAACGTCAGGAGGGGGGAAAAAAGGCACATCTTCATAAAGTTCTCTTTCACATCCAGAAAGATCTCCATGTTGGGGCTCTGCTCACCAATCAGGGACACAAAAGAGTTTTGTTTTGAGGCTTACATTCTAGAGCAATCTATGGCAGCAGTTGCTTTTTTCCTTCTCCTTTCAGTACTTGCGACCTTGATGTAGCACCACTTGGGTGTGTGGGAAGAACCAGTAGTGAAATGTCATGAGTTCACTTAAAAGGAGTTAAATGTGCTCTTCCAATTGGACAAGAACAACACCCCTCTCCCAAAAAAAAAAAAAAAACACAAAAGCTTTCAGCAAACAATACAGTTGAAATTAAGGCTGCAAAGCTGCCACACAGTGGGAAGATGTGCAAAATTTTATCTTTCAAGATGACCAGGCAACCGGCAGCTTGATCAGAATGCCAAAAGAACGATTATTTATTTTTTTTTTAAAAAAAGAAAGAAATCACAAAATTCAAAGGAAAGAATCCATGGGGGGAGCATAGGAAAAGCCCAGAAATGCTTCGGCAGCCTCTTTGACGCTGGCAGTGATGAGGATGCTGTCTGAAGACTGGCCAATGGAGTTTGGGACAGGCTCCTCTGTAAACTCGGGGTCAAAGTGTCGCAGATCGTTAGGCCCGCTCTGCAAGAAAACAGGGTATTTGGATGTTAATAAAGGCTGCAAGGACACTTAATACTACACTATCTTCCAATTCAAGGCAAACAAGGATCTAATGAAGCCACTTTTCCCTAGAGGTAACTGGAAACCAATTCTCAGGTTTCTTCTCCCTGTTCACCACTCCTGAGGTCAAAGAAGGTCCAAGCCAACTTTCTGCAATCTGGAGTTCTCAAATGGCAGCTGCCAGAATTCCCAGCTAATGTAGCCAAATAATTCTGGAAGTTGTAGTTCCAGGTTATCTGAAGGGTACTAAGGTGAGGATGCCCATTTTAGGCACTCTGCAAGGGGGTAATAGGCTAATATTAACTAGTCCTGGAAGCTCGCCTAACGTCCATCCTCGCTCAGTAGCCCAGGCAGACAAAAAAGGTTGGATCCACAAGAGGTTTTGCTGCAGATGCCAGAACAGGATAGCTTCCCATTTCTCTGCAGCCTCCTCTCTACCTCTTAAGTCCAAGAACTCCCTCTGGCAAAACTTACAAGAAGGATTTTTTCCTGCAGCCTATCTAGATCTAACCTGACATGTCTGTCTTGTCCAGGACAGCCTCAGTATCAAAAGCACAGTATAAAAGCACCTTTAACAGCAGGACTAATTCCAAACTAAATTACTATGGAATAGGCCCACTGAAGCCAGTGAATTTGCTTTCAAAAGTAACCATGTGTGTATGGTGAGACTTATCACCAGTGTCTAGACAACCTCTGAAAAATCATTTGAAATACCACTTTAAATTCACTACTGTGTTCTCGAGTTTAAAAAGCAAACCTTTTAAAAGTATTAGTTAACTTAGACAGGCGGAAAGAAAGTGTGTGTGTGTCTGTCTGTGTGTGTGTAAAAACGCTCAGAATTTTTTTGCCTTGCACTGGACAAATCAATAGATGTATTACAACTCCATTAATCTAGTGGCAATATGTTTAAGCCTTCTGTTAAGTCAAATACAATCTTTGTTTGGGTGGTGGGTATTAAGTGTCTGGAGAACTGAGACTTCCTGTTGAATCCTGGTGTGAACTCATTCTTGATTTATGCACACACACACACACACACACAACACTTCCGGCATCCCCAATAGAATAAATCTTCCCTGGCCATTATGCAATTAGAAGAGCTCTTACCACATTTGGGTTAAAAGGTGGTGTAATCTTCTTGTTTATAAGATCATCCCAGTTAATTGGAGAGAAGAAAATGTGATTCTTAATTTCCATCTGTTGAAATAATGGAAATTAAATTAGTTTAAATGCAAAGAGCTGAAACTGTCTATCCAAATTCTCAAATGCCTTTCCCCTATTTTCAAAATTATACTTACAAAGTCTTCCTTTGCTCCTAGCCTCTTAGTTCTGTCCTTCTGCAAAAGTCCTTCCAAAAGGTGTCTAGCAGAGTTGGTGATATTTGGCTTCAGTTGTAGAGGTTTGTTCAAGATGTTGTCATACATTTCTGCTGTGTTTCTGCTGTAGAAAGGGGGCTGCAAGGAGAGAAGAAATATTTACTATCTATTGTCTAACCTTACTGTTATTTATTGATTTGAGCTGCAAAGTTTTGCATCTTGTCATTCCTCTGGGAGCCCAGGGTATCATGCATGCCACTCCTTTCTCCAATTTTGTTCACAACCACTTGGGATGTAAGCCAGACTGCAATCCTACTCAAATATTTTAACCACCCCCACCACACTGTCTCTGAGCTTGGAAGCAAGACTTACTTTAATGCAATACCCATTAAATAAGCCAATTTGGTCTAATGCAGTGTTTCTCAACCTTGACAATTTTAAGGCATGTGGACTTCAACTCCCAGAATTCCACAGCCAGTCCACATGCCTTAAAATTGTCAAGGTTGAGAAACACTGGTCTAATGGTTAAGGTACCAGGCTAGAAACCAAGAAACTGAGTTCTAGTCCAACTTTAGGTATGAAAGCTGGATGATTTTGGCCAGTCTCCCTCAGCCCAACTTATCTCGCAAGCTTATTATGGGGAAAATAGGGGAAGGACGGAGTATTAGGTATGTTAATGCCTGTGAGTTATTTATAAAAATAATAAGGGGAGGATTTAAAAAAAACATTTTTCCATGAATTAATTAACCCATTAGAAGGGCTGCTGGAGCTAAGAACCTCCCTGACATCGCCTCATAAATTCCAAAGGGATTTCACTAGCACCAAAGTTGGTATTTATTTCCTTTGCTGCAATTACTGGAGTGGCAAACACTCCCAGTAAGCAGATTAAATATGTCATTTCTGTTTCTTACTTACCAGTCCATAAAGCATCTCGTACAAAACTGCCCCAAGGCACCACCAGTCCACAGTCCGGTCATAAGGTTGCTTGTGAAGGACTTCAGGGGCCAGGTACTATTGGACACAAATAAAAGAATGGGAACATTTGATTAGAAAAAACCTGATGGCTAATGGCAAATCTAAGATAAATCTACCTTCTTTAGGCGTTTTGCTCAAAGTTTGCTCATGGGGAGCCTGCAGCCCTACAGACAACTCCAATTTTCTTGACTACTATCTTGTCAGCTAAGGTGGATTGGATATAGGGGACCAAGGGTTCTTCACCAAGAGAAACAGCAAAATGCCTGGGGCTTGCATATGCGAACTAGGGGCCAGGTCAATCTGGACAATCAAACCAGTTTCTACACCTTGAGCATTTTTCTACAGGAACTCCAATAGGACTTTCTTTTTTTAACCCTCTAGTGCAGTGGTTCTCAACCTTTTTAATGCCGTGACCCCCCAACCTGTCATAAGTCGAGGACTAAACCGGTCATAAGTCGAGGACTAAACCGGTCATAAGTCAAGGACTACCCAACCGGTCGTAAGTTGAGGACTTTCCCTGTCCGGGAGTGCCCCGCATGCGTGGTGCCACCCCCTGCGCCGGCCGAGGCGTAGCTGGCAAGCGGCAGACAGAGCAGGCCGACCACCAGCTGGGCCACCAGCTGGCCCAGCCCAAGGGAGGTAAGGCACCCGCCGGAAAAGGGGGAAAAAATGGTGGACAGCCTTGCTTGGTGACCCCCGTGAAATGGTCGATCGACCCCAAATGGGGTCGCGACCCATAGGTTGAAAACTGCTGCTCTAGTGGCAGCCATCCACTTTCACAAAGCTGGCACATAATGTCCTATACTAGCCTCATCAGGGAAACTCCTGCCCATGGTCATGCAATGGTACACATATATCACTGTCACGGGACAAAGCAGATCTCAAACTTACTTCAGGAGTGCCGCAAAATGTGGAAGTTGTGCCATTGTGTTCAATGTTCTCTTTGCAGAGTCCAAAGTCAGTCAAAACAATGTGGCCCTGAGAATCAAGCAAAATGTTCTCTGGCTTCAAGTCCCTGTGGCAAAGAATATGAAAGACCAGTCAACTTCAAATCTTACCTGTCTGAATCTCTGTAATTCACATTTGTCCGATTTATAAGCTTTTTCCCAAATAAGCCACTTTCATGTATGATCTTCTAGCTAGCCAATTTAAACTGGTAGCTAATGGCACCCAATCCATAACCAGAAACAGCAAGTGCTAATCAGGGCAATTATTCAGGAGTAAAGTTACTGATCCCAAAGCCCATTTTGGCAAAACAGCCTATAAATTGGAACTCGGTTCCTGCCTTTCAAACAAATATGCATACATTAAGTACAGTGCTTACCGGTATACAATGTTCAAAGAATGCAGGTAGCCCAGTGCACTAGCTATTTCAGCAGCATAAAAACGAGCTCTTGGCTCCAGGAAGCAACGTTCTCTCTGGAGATGGTAGAACAACTGCAAGATAGAAAGGAGGGGGGAGGGAATATATTACTGATCCCAAGGCTGTTAACAATCTATTTAATTAAGCACAGCATACTAAGTTAGAGAGGATAATTGTTGGAAATGGCCTAGTAATCCTCTGGCTATTTCCTGCTATTAGAGATTGGCAAGCAGGAGACTGAATCTAGCATCTCTGCCTTAGAATCCCCTTTTTCATTACAAACAAGAGCACTTAAGTGTGGGTTACTGTGGACTAACCTCCAACTTTCCAAGCAAGAACCCAACTCCATTCAACCCCCCCCCCCAACACACATACACTTTGGAGGGCCCCAGGTGTCCTTTTTGCTCACCTCTCCACCATTGATGTAGTCTAGCACAAAATACAGCTTGTCAGCTGTCTGGAAGGAAAAGTGAAGTCCCACCAGGAAAGGATGCTTCACATTCTTAAGGAGGACATTGCGTTCAGACATAATATGTTTCTCCTGGAAAAAGAAAAAAAGAGGTATGGAACCAGTTGTTAGTATTGGCCAGTATAACAATACAACTGAATTGTTATAAAGCAAACTAAGTGACTGCAAGAAAATTCCTGAATGTACACCAACAGGGCATAAAACGACAACTAAGCATCTTTGGATTAATTTTCCATATTCTGCTTAAAAGTGGACATTCTGTAGGCTTTATGATGTCTTTTCTGCTTCCTGTCTACTTTTTGTTTACCGTTTCACCTTAGGAGGTGTTCTGAGAAGCTGAAAGCTTACTCATTGTAATGTAATTTGTGAACTGCCCTAAGGTAGAATTATTTTCTTGCTTAGTATTTCTTGGGAACAAGATTAAGTCAATATTTACCTCCTTCTTTTTCAGGATTGCTTTTTTCTGGAGTACTTTTACTGCATAGAATTGTTCTTCTGCCTTGTGCCTTGCAAGAAGAACCTGAAAGAAACCAAAGATCTTGTTAAGTTTAAGGGTGATTCCAGGAAATCAAGTTAAAACTACATTTTCCTTTTTGTTAAATTGCAAAAATACAGCTACTTGTACAGTTCAGTATAATTATAGGCTTAAAGTTTTGTACCTGAATATGGTAAAGGGCAATACTTTAGAGACAGGCAATGAAGCCATCAAACCCTTTTGAATATAATCCAAATTCTCTCAGTCTTTAAAATAAATAGTTCTTTCTTAAGAGTGCTAATTATTCAATTTATTTTTTCAACTTCATACTAAGACAAATGCCTTGGATGAGACTGACTTTCCCAAGGCCATGGAATAGCATTTTAAAATAAGTCTTCAGAACAGACTGTTCTGAAGACTTACTTTATCCATCTGGTTATAAAAGCAATGAATGTTTATCCTTAAAAACCAATTAGCAAAATCAAGACATAGCTTACCTTTCCAAAACTACCTTTCCCAATAACTTTCAGGAAATGGAAATCTGATGGTTTAGCGTGAGGGTTAGATGATGGGCCAAGGTTGATTTGTTGAGATGGACTAGGCTGCAATGGGAAAAAAAAATTAAAAGTGTTGATTTTTGTACTGAAATACTTGGATACAGATTTAAAAACCAACAAATACAATTATAAGCTGTTTTGTGCTGGGGCTTCAGAAAACAACTCTGCCCCCTCCCCTTTTTTAAAAAAATAAAATCTTCCCTTTTAAGTAATTATGCTGGACCTTTATTTTAAAACATTTCTTTCCAAGTTAAGTATACATTGAACCAAGGCCACTTACTGGAGGAGAAGGATTGGCATTCATAAGTTCTGGTTCTTGAGGCTGGGAGATCTTCAGAATTGATTGTACTTCAGGACTGCAAGTATCAGACAGAATGGAATTAGTCCAATTACAACATGCCTGGAACATGGAAATTATCTCACCACAAGGTGGCAGGCTAACTCTAGTTGAGCAAAAGTCAGGCTGGCTAGCTTAGCAAAGGAGATTGAAACAGATTAGGTTTCAAAGGTAAGATGGAAAAAGAGTCACAATAAACCTGAGCAAAGAGACTCAGGTTTCTTCTGTAATTATAGATCAGAGAGAAAAAGGAATGGCAGAGGGATCGACAGAATTCAAACAAGATGCCATTTCTCTGGACAGTTTTAGTCCCTATTGGGGCAACAGAAACACACAGTGTTTTCTGAAGCCAGCACACGCCCTGTGCCTTCTCAAAAACAACCTCCCACTGAGTTCAACGAGATTTGCTTGTAAGTAAGTGGTGTAGGATTACAGTCACTGTAACACATACTTTTATAGTGAAACTCTTAACAATTAATTAAAGCAGCCAAACTCACATTCTTAACGCTACTTCCTAAATATGCTGAACTCAGTGGAACCTGACTCTGTGTAGTTATCCTTAGACTACAGAAGTTCAATTTACAAACAGATCGTGTTTCAACTCCTAGCTCTCCCTGGGGAAGAGGTTAGGTAACATCTCACAAGGTTGTAATTAAATTTGTAAGTTCCGTGCATCTACCATGAGAAAAGCAAAACATACTTACTGCTTGCATGCATAGGAGTTGGTGGCTATTTTTTGAATGAAGTCGTTCAGCCCCATTCTTCTCTGTTTCATGAAAGCTGCAAATAAGAAAGACAGAAGATGAATCCTGATCGATCGGCAACTTTTCATTTTCGTTTCCTTCCTGTTTTTTTAAAACGCTTAAAGCGATTTATTTAGGTGCTCTTTAAATGTATTTAAAGCAAACTTTTTTAAATAAAATAAAATTAGATGCTCCTTGTAAAATATAGCTATTTAGGCGCTCTTTCATCCGGCCTCCGAAAATAATCTCAAAGGAAATCTTTCTGTGAACGGCTGAGGCGGTGACACGGCTTGGCGGTCCTTGCTCGACCCCTTTACTCACCGATCAAAATCGCCACCATTCCTCTCATCTTTGAATAAGATAGCGTGGATCCAGATGCTTCAGTTTTGACTGTCATGGCAGAGCGAGTAAAAACAGCAATAGCGATAAATCCAAGCCGACGGGTGGGGAAAAAAAAAACCCCAGATCGATCTACGACCGAGTTAAGTGAATGAGTCAGTCAGCCGGCCCGCCCGCCAGGCAGCCCAGGGAAAAAGCGCAAAGGATGCCTAGCGACTTAGCCGTCGTCACGCTGCAAAGAAAACTCCCGTCTCAGGCGCTCACCAAGGGCTTTATATAAACGAGGGCCCGGCGCTAGGAGAGGGAGGAGGAGAGGAAAAAGGGGAGGAGCCCGCGGGAACAATGAGGAAGAGGCTGAGTCGCCGTTCCGGGCGCCCGGGAGCCGCCAGAAGATACGCAAAGCCTGGCGCCCGGCCGCAGGCAGCGCGCGGACCGCCCTTCCCTTCCTTCCTTCTTTCGCTTTGACGTTTCCAAGAGTCAGGCGAGGCGGGCCTGCGGGAGGGGAGGGGCAATTCAGAAGCTTTTCAAGAGGTTAGGATAAAAAACAGTGCAACGCTGGGTCGGAATCTTGTTAAGGTTAGAGTGTATTTTTGTTAGTCCTCCCGGGCGGGGTGAGGGTGGGGGGGGGGGGGAAAGGAGCGAAAGCAACAAGGAATTATTTCTCCCTTTCCCCCCCCCCGTTCGCCTTTTGAGAACTAGGGTGACCTTGGCTGCTCTCATTGCCACCTCCGAGGGGTGCCCAAGCGGGGAAGGGGGCTGGCGCGGTTCACACTCGTGCAAATGGGGGACTAGGGCGGATTTGCTCCGTTCCAAAGGCGGCGCGACTCTTCAGACGGGCGCAGCCCGCTGCGAGGCTCGAGGGTTCCGGTCCTTCTAGTACTTTGTAGCTTAAGGCATTTGGCGACACCCTGCCATCTCTGTAGCGACAGGAAGTGTGTCCCCCATTCCTGAATCGGATGCTGGGTGTCGCTAAAAGCTACAAACTCGAGGAAAGTTTGAGACCAATCCGTCTCTTTTCCCCGCTTCCTTTTGCCACAGTCCCGAGGAAAACCTATCTTTTATCTACTTAGAGCATGGTGGCATTTTTTTCTTGTCAGAAATGCCTCTAGGGAGGAGACCTTATTGCAAGATCAGCTTGTGCTACAGATAAGAGCGTAAGAATGGTCCTTGCGACATTTCGGGTAGTTCGCAACTTTTGGCCCTGAAGAAACTCGCAAACGGAGCGTGATGCTGGCAGCGTGCTTTTGCTCGCTCTCTCTCCCCCCCCCCCCCGCTATCTGCTCAGCTCGGCCCCCGAGCAAAATATTCCGTTACTAATCATGGGGAACAGAGCGTTAGTCAGCCTTCATCAATCTGGTGCCCCCCGCAAGTGGTGGGCTTGCAATGTCAGAATTCCCAGCCAGTCGTGCAGGCCGATTCCCGGAGGGCGCCTGGTTGGGAAACTAGTCTGCCCATTGCTTAATCCTATAAATTGTTTTAAGTGCCAGCCTAGTTATAGAACGTACGAGACGTGAAACTCCAAAGTGCCAGTAAACTGCATTCAAAGTGCTTTGCGAATAATTTCTCTCTTCCTATCCGCGCCCGCATACACGAGTTTTGCTTCCTAAATCAGTTACTCGGTGTAACACACCTATACAGGAATACAGCTCATTGAGGTCCGTATTAATTATGCAGTAAACACGGCCGGGGTGAGCATTCTCGCTTCTATTCAAAAGCATCGCAACCCCAAAAGCATTTTGGCAACTTGTAGTTCCAAACTATTTAGAGTTCCCTCTCTGGTAATTAACTGGTATTTAAAACTGGCAGTCTCTCTGCAAACCAGACCAGGCTCTCCCTCCCTTTTCTCTTTCTCAAACCACCTCGGAGCAAATTCCGGCAGTGAAACAATAACCAACCACGGGAGCCTCAGCGAAGCCTGGGCTCATCAGAAGGTATTTATTAATGATCCAAAATCGTCCCACCAGCAGCAGACAGAGTGGTTGTCCATTGGCTGTAAAAGCTGGTACCACCTCAAAGCCGCAAACAACCAGCTCTAAAAGGAATCATTAACCAAAGGAGGCATCCGGGGGCGGGCGAGGGGATTAAGTCTGCTGCCACTCAGGCTCATCAAAGTCGGAATCGGGAGGGGGAAAGGAAGCTCGTGGCTTTCCAGAAGTCAGGCATAGCCCCCAAGAAAAGAGAAAGCCTAACAACCGTCTATCCATCTATTTCTTACCGAAATCCTCGCCAGAAATAACAGCACTTTTTCCCCTTTGAGCCTCAATAATCCCTTCTTCCGTACGAGATCTATTAATGCCCGGTTTATCTTTCACCTCCGTTATGAAGAAGGGGGGAGCGGAGAAGTTCAAACTTTGTCCCGCAGCCCAAGCGACCGCAGCAGCGAGAGCCGGAGGTTGATCAGGAGTGGCCTTTTAGTCAAGGAACCGCAGGGAGGAACTCAGGGAAAGGGCAATTTCCTGCCCGGCTTTCTCAGTTCAACGAACAAGAACCCCCTTGGATATATGCAAGACTTTGGGAGTTCACGTGGCTGCCTTGGGCTGTTTCCCGAGAACCCTTGGGGCCAAAACGTTCCAACACAAGTCGATAGATAAATAAATAAAATAATAAGAGGTGGGGGGAGGGGGAGGAGAAATTTCCATACAGTTATTTGCAAAAGTCGTGGAAGGAAACAGGAAAAAAATAAGTTGATTGCTTTACCCCATTATTATCACCACCGTGATCCCAGAACAACAGTGCGTCCCTGAAAAACTGTTTAGGTATTTATACGACCGCTGCAATACAGCGGAGCCCCTGAGGTTTGTTGATGAATGGGTTAGGCCCAGATAAAGCCAGTTGGTGATCCAAAGCGCAGGTGGTAGGCAAGGCCCAGACTTTCGGAACAGATTATTATTGGGGGGCGCGAATGGGCGAGGGAGGGGGCTGCGGCAGCCCATCACCCCGGAAACGGCGCCAGCGGAATCCGTAGCCCCTAAGACTTTTTTTTCCTTCAAAGGACACCTTTTGATGGAACCGGAACGGATTTCCCCCCCCCCTTCTGATGGAGGCCTTGGCCGCTTGTTGATAAGATTGCATGAAATAATACATAATCGATTACCTAAAATATAAGGGGGAGGAGTGTAACTCTGCCGCCAGGTACTGCCTCTGTTGTAACCACCTCTCCAAGCACATAAGGATGGGTGGGAATATGGGAACTCTGGAGGCCATTGTTTTGGAGGAGGGCGTGGAATGGATGAAGCTTCAAATTTCATCCCTTTGCATCTTTAACCGTTCTTGCAAGCCTACGCTTGGGATCACTTCTTAGATAAGTTCTCAGAAGGAATGCTACTGAATGACCCGAAGGGGTGGTTTTGTGTGTGTGTATGTGTGTGTGCTTCTTTTTTCAGGCTACCCACGACTCCAGAGCCTCCTAGACGAGATTTAGGAGGAAATAACCGCTAATTGGATTTCTTTCCTTTTGCAAATTCTGCCCTTCCCCTTTTTCAGCGTTAAGATCTGCGTGCGCGCGCCCGAAAACATTTTCGCAACCGGTAAGCGGAACAGATGCGTTGAAGTGTAGGCTCTTGCTACGCCGCAGAGGAAACAACTCGGCTTACAGGGAGGCTGAGCTGAACCGCCCCGTCCCACTGCTAATTCTCTCTCGCTACCTCCCTTGGCTAATGCAAGATTGCAGAACGTAGCAAAATCTCGGTTTGGTTAACCCGGCACCGAATATTGAAAGAAATCGAGGCTGAAAAGACCTCAAGATCAAGCTGCATTTCAGCGACAATTCCACAGCAATCGGCGCACAAAGCCAGTTCATAGGAAGTCAGGCCCCGAGTCAAAAGATTGCCAGATGGCTTCTGTTTTCCAGCACCAGTTGCTTTAGCGAGGAAAGGCAGAGCGCCCCCTGTGGCCGACTACAACGTCCCCTTATAAAATCATAAGTTTCATTGCCGACAACGCGCATGCTCCGTCTCACTTTTTCCTTTTCAGCCAACGAGGAATTTAATCAAGGCGCAAAAGCTATGAAAATATACCGGCGGTCCGGCAGGAAACGTTCGGCCCTCCCTGTAATGCTGAGCTGCAATTCCTGGCAGCATCACCAGCGTGACCAGAAGTGATGAATGCAGAAGTCTATAGTTCTGTAAGGTGCACCATAAAGCCATTCGTTTCTAATTTGAGTTCCTTTCTTTCTTGTTCTGTTTGTCAACGTTCTTTTCAAGGTTTTTGAACTATGGAATTATCCATTCTAAGTCTCAATGGCGCTCAGTGGGTGCCAGCTCAGAGTAAATGCTCCTGGAACAATGTTGATGTTCCAGCACCTCTATACTTATAAAAGGAAGAAAAGCCCAGGATCATGTCAATTAGTTCCAATCAACTGTCTGCCATTAACACTGATGCAAAGGATAATGGGAAGCGCCCATAAAACTCTGGAGGAAGCCTATGCTTACAGCATATGAACATTAAGGGGGTGAGGGTGAGAAGCCTTAAAAAAATGTGCAGTCCCACATCTGTACTTGGGGCTTGTCTAAAGCCTGAAGAGCTACTGGCAGCTGTATCCAGAGTGCTAGCCAGTCTGCCTCAATATATGTGACAAGTTTCGCACACCTTACAATCTGAATGGACAAATCTAATCCAAAGATTGTTCAAGCCAAAGAAAGCTTTTTATCTGAACTTACTGACCCATTCATGGTCCCAGTGCTGCTTCATCCTTCTCCATAGAATCCTTTCTCTTTAATAGCCCTGAAAGGAAGCTAAAGTCTACATAACAAGCTGAGTTCAAAGCAACTAGAGCTTCCACCCTCCCCCACCCCCCACCCCTCTAGGATTCTCTGAAGACATTCAGTTCCATTACAACTTCCTCTGTTCACTCCTTCACTTTTCTTTCAAAGAGGGTTTTTCCATTATTTCCACTGCACCAAGAAAAAAAAGAGCCCCAACCCTTGTTATGACCTTAGTTGATAAAAATAATTACAATTTGTAATTGTAAGTATGCCCCCCCCCTCCAAAGTTTCTATCATTTTTCCTACAGAGAAGTTCTTGGAAAAGTTTTTTCCTCTTCTTTATCAATATTCAAACAAAAGAACGGTTAAGAAAACAATATTTAACCAACCTTTTAGTGAAGACTTTTCTTCTTTCCCTCTCATGATTCTCTTCCCCTCTCTTGCTCAAGATCCCACAACAGCAGTGCCGTTCTGTACTGTTAAATCCTTTAGTTTGTTATAGTTCCCCAGCAATACGTCTGTTTTGGACTGCTGTCCGCCTCCCAATCAGCTTGACGGGAGGCGGGCAATGAAGGAAAGAAACTAGCTGATCTAGCTGCCCACTTTATGAACCTTGCATTAAAGGTGATTTACAGACTGAGAACTAAAGTTCAATGTTAGCCACGTTGTTGCAACATAACCCTGAAATTTACTGAAATCATCACTTGCTTATTATGTACACAACATGCCCACGCGCGCACCCGGTGTGCAACTAGAAATGCAGGTCGCCTATAATTGATGCATTTGTAACTGCAGCCAGCAAAACTTGAATCAAAACACAACTGAAGAAGAGAAGCGTGTTATAAAAAAAAAAAAAAAACACGAGGCATCAGGGGCCAGGGGTGTATACTGCCCACGTATTTCAGTGAATGGGATTAGTGGATTGGGATGGATCGTTAGGCTAGACGTTTCGGGGCGCGATATTGTAGCAATGATTGTTTAATCGCATGATTCGCTGCAGCAAACATCCAGCGGCCGGTTCTCAAATCGGTTAATCTGGAGTATTTGCACCTATACACAGACAGCTGTGTGACTCCTTAGGGCTGCGGCTTAATGCCTTTGAGGATCGCCGATGAAAGCTAGCGGGAGACAGACGTTTCCCTACTCTCCATTTTTGCGTCAAAGCTGCGCGAGAGGACGGCTGCCGCCGGTGTCATCCCGTTTCTCCCTCTCCACCCAGCCAGCCTCCCACGCGACTTCCCCTCTCTTTTTAGCAGCGGCGGGAGACATCTGGGCTCCCGAACATGTGTCGTTTCAAAGGAAAGAGAAGTTGTTGAGACTGGGCTTTCCTGCCGGCCCAGGGGTGGAGGCTGGAGCAGGCGTCCCTTTTCCAGTCCTGGCACCAAGCACTTCCGAACAGGAAAGCCAGAGACACCCAGCGAGGAGGGCTTTCCCGCCTCCGGAGTCCGATACTCGGCCTGCGGCCGCCGAACCTCCTCCTCGCAAAGGGAAGGAGGACAGACGGCGAAGTCCCGAGTCTCGCAGACTTCGGCTGCAGCCTTCAACTTGGACGCCGGGGGCGCTCTAGCTCACGTTCTGAATTGGGCGGCGGGGGGAGGGGATTCCTGCGTGGCCGTCGAGGCCAGCCATGCGCCCTCGTAGAGACTCGCTTTCAGGATCGCCCCTTATTATTCCAGAGCGCCGCCGCCCGCTGACAACCAGGCCTGGCGTGGTTTGGAAACTAGGGCTGATAGATCAAAGGTGGCCCGCTGAAACTCTGCCCTCTCTTGTAGGAAGCGATCGGCACACTGGGCTTTGAAAATGGAGGCTCGGTTTGGCAGAGTGGAGGTTGAAGTCTGCCATCCACCTCGCTAAGCTGAGGCGGGTGACTTCCAAGCAGCAGTCCTCACTCCACCCGCCCTCACCCTACAAGACACGAGGAATTCCCTGTGTGGAATTCGGACCTTGATGATTAAGTAAAAGCTCCTGAATCTGTCACTTTGATTATATTGCAGTCTCAACTTTAGACAAATCCTCTTCCGTACATTGGCTATTTTCTGTTAAGGGTCTGGAGCACTTTGGACTTGATTTCCAGAAGATACTTTGTAGTGCATAAGGCCATCCATGGAGACTGTCTCATTCTGGGGAAAGCTGTGTCTCTGTATAGACCTACAGACAGGTGTTATGTTTGCACTTCCCCTCATCTAAAGCACTTTTTTGGAATCAAATCTGTTACTCGACTCAGATTTCCTTCTTTCTAGGGATCCGTTCCATGGAGAAAGGGTTTTCCGTGGACCAAAGAGGGCTGGTTTTGTGTGCTGCCTGTATCCCACAGATGGGGCTTTGCTTGTTTGTATGGACCGGTTGTTGGCATGCCGCAGCCCTGTACCAGTCCACGGACTGGGGGTTGGGGACCCCTGTTCTAGAGAATGCCAAAAAAAAAAAATCCAAACTAGCTGAGTTAATGATAAGAAAATTTTTAAAACCCAGATTAGTTACATTAGGTCACCAAACATCTTTCAGATTTTTCCAGAATATTAATTAGATACAATATTGAACAATGAAAGAAGAGCAAAAGGCTAACCATTTTGGGATATTCAAGCAATACTTGAATAATATTTCTTATAGACTTAAGGTGGAAAATGGGAGAAAATATTGCATATATTCAAACTAGAAAAATAAAATGCCTTACAGCTAAGTTTGCTTTATTAATCATTCTGCATGGTGAGAAATTCTAAAGGGTCTGACCATGAACATGATCAAGTCTAAAACCGTCTAATAATAATATTCTGATATGTTGCCTAGCACATAAAAAATCCTGTACTGTACTTGTAGATAAACTTAGGGAAGTTTCTTACAAATTATTGTGGTGGATAGGGGGGTGGGTGATACTAAAAGAGTGTAGGTCAGCGAGGGCGAACCTTTTAGAGACTGAGTGCCCAAACCACAACCCCAAACCCAATTATTTATCTCAAAGTGCCAGGGCCGCATCAGTATTGTGGTGCCCTCGGGGAGAGGATATGTGGCTGCAGTGGTGATGGCAGACTGAATGGGCGTGGCCAGGGTGGACGTGGCCACCTTGATATTGCTTGTGGGGGCATGCCTGTGGGGGCTGGGCAGGATTGGGGGAGATCCAGGGGATCGCTGGTGGGTGGGGCAGTGGGCAGGAGGCTCGTCCTGCGGGGTGAGGCAGGGGATAGGGTGGGGGTGCCATTGCTGCGGGGCAAGGCGAGGCAGGGGCAGCTGCTGCCTGACACCATCAGCCCCCCCACACAGAGACCAGCGAACACATGGCGTGCTCTACTACCTCTACTCGACCTTGCTAGCTAACTGCTTCACCTCCTTTGTGCTGGGTGGGGTTGCCATTCCGGGCTCCAGCAGTGGCCTAATGGACCTGTGCGAGCTGGCAGCGGCAGCAGGTGTGCCCACAGAGAGGTTCGCCATCACTTCTGTAGGTTATAACCAGTCTTAATACAGATCCCATTCAGTACTGAAGCTGGAGTCTTACGTGCAAGGCTACCAAAGCGTGGTGTATGAATATGGTCTCTGAACTATGAACCTTCTACTCCAGAAATGAAGGAGACCTGAATTAAAGTGCTTTGCAACCTTCTCTCGAATAGCTGGATAATAGCATTTTGTTATGTGTTATCTAATACAGTTTAGTGGAAATTCCAAATAATATAGGAAATTGTGCTAGCATTTTTCTAACCTTCATCTTATCTTACTCCCCACTTCCTGTCCATGCTATACTTATTAAATTGCTGACTGTCTTATGTTACATTCCTTTAAATGTACCTGAGGCCAATTCTCCCTCCTCCCCAAATTAGGAAATAAATGCTTAGGCTGCAGTGTACTAAAAGTACTGATTGCTGCATTAATTAGATTTTTTTAAATTTTTTTTGTAAAAGTAGTTGTTATTACTGCAAAGATATTGCATCAGCATTGCAAGCAAACAAGCTAGTGCAAATAACTGGAAATTACATAAAATTATACCCTCTATCTAAAAAAAATAAAAAATCATAGATTTGGAAGGGGCCACTTAGGTCCAACCCATTCTTAGTGTCATATCCAAATTAAAGCTTATCAAATGACTATCCATACTCTGTTGGAAATAAACAGACACAAGATTAAAAAGACACCACTTCTGTCTCTCAGATATGTGAGACTCTGCATTTCTTACTGTGCAGGGACTTCAGTCATTTAGTAACCATATTGTAAGAGACGTGTTTGTGTGTGTTTGTGTGTGTGTTTGTGTATGTGTGAAACTGCCGGCCTGCAGGCCAGATGCGTCATGGCAA